CAGGTTATTATGACCTCTTGAATGTTGTCAGGTTATTATGACCGCTTTGAATGTTGTCAGGTTATTATGACCCCTGTGGATGTTGTCCAGGTTATTATGAACAATTAGAATGTTGTCAAGTTCATTTTTACCACTTTGAATGCTTTCCAGGTTATTATGACTATTTTGAATGCTTTCCAGGTTATTATGACTATTTTGAATGCTTTCCAGGTTATTGTGACTATTTTGAATCAGCCTCTGCTGTTGGAGCTGGTGAGAACTCCTAATTTACTGTTGTGATATGACCTTGCGTATGTGGTAACCTGTTGTTCAGGTTCTTAGGAACGCTTGTGATGTTGTCAAGGTTATTATGACTACTTTGATTGCTTTCCAGGTTATTATGACCACTTTGAATGTTGTCCAGATTATTATGACCAATTTGAATGTTGTTCAGGTTATTATGACAATTTGAATGTTGCCTAGGTTATTATGACTACTTTGAATGTTGTCGAGGTTATTATGACTATTTTGAATGCTTTCCAGGTTATTATGACCACTTTGAATGTTGTCTAGGTTATTATGATCACTTTGAATGTTGTTGAGGTTATTATGACCACTTTGAATGTTGACGAGGTTATTATGACCACTTTGGATGTTGTCCAGGCTATTATGGCCAATTAGAATGTTGTCAAGTTCGTTATTACCACTTTGAATGCTTTCCAGGTTATTATGATATTTTGAATGCTTTCCAGGTTATTATGACCACTTTGAATGTTGTCTAGGTTATTATGACCACTGTGGATGTTGTCCAGGTTATTATGGCCAATTAGAATATTGTCAAGTTCATTATTACGACTTTGAATGCTATCCAGGTTACTATGACTATTTTGAATGCTTTCCAGGTTATTATGACCACTTTGAATGTTGTCTAGGTTATTATGACCACTGTGGATGTTGTCCAGGTTATTATGACCACTTTTAATGTTGTCTAGGTTATTATGACTACTTTTGATGCTTTCCAGGTTATAATGACCACTTACGATGTTAGCCATATCAGTGGGCTCAGTTACTTTTGATAGGCAAGGTCAGCGAGGGACTCAAAAAAGGCTCAGCCATTTTAGTTGTTCTGCAGCTGAATTGGGCAGTTGAAGGGCTAGCCACTTGGATGTTGACCAGGTCAAGGGAACGAGTCAGCCATTTTGATGTTGGTCAGATCAAGGTGAACGGTAGATTCTGTCACTTGGATGTTGGCCAGGTCAGGGGGAATGGAAGGAGAAGTCACTTGGATGTTGGCCAGGTCAGGGGGAGTGGAAGGGTCAGCCTCTTTGATGTTGGCCAGGTCAGGGGGAGTGGAAGGGGAAGTCACATGGATGTTGGCCAGGTCAGGGGGAGTGGAAGGAGACGTCACTTGGATGTTGGCCAGGTCAAGGGGAGTGGAAGGGTCAGCCTCTTTGATGTTGGCCAGGTCAGGGGGAGTGGAAGGGGAAGTCACATGGATGTTGGCCAGGTCAGGGGGAGTGGAAGGGTCAGCCACTTGAATGTTGGCCAGGTCAGATGAAGTGGAAGTCACTTGGATGTTGGCCAGGTCGAGGGGAGTGCAAAGGTCAGCCTCTTGGATGTTGGCCAGGTCAAGAGGAGTGCAAGGGTCAGCCACTTGGATGTTGGCCAGGTCAGGGGGAGTGCAAGGGTCAGCCTCTTGGATGTTAGCCAGGTCAGGTGGAGTGGAAGGGTCAGCCTCTTGGATGTTGGCCAGGTCAGGGGGAGTGCAAGGGTCAGCCACTTGGATGTTGGCCAAGTCAGGGGGAGTGCAAGGGTCAGCCATTTGCAAGTTGACCTGGTCAGTTGGAGACTGAAAGCTTCAGCCAGTTTGGTTGTTGTCCATGTGGACTAAGTTGCTACAGCCATAACATTAACCAAGAGATCAGTGAAATCAATTATAGAACTAATTTTATTGACTATGAAACTTCTGCATTCCAACTGAATCCTCTGCATGTATGACTATTTCTGCTATGAATGCAAACTTTGCAATTTAAATATTCATTGATCTAATGGTAACTGAAATGTACATGCATTGTTTTTACACATTTATTATCTCAGTGCCTGAGTATTTACATTTATATTTACAGTGACCCCTCACTAAGTCGCAGGTTCCGGGATCCAAGCAAAAACTGCGAGGGTTTGCGACTTACCGAGGGGCCTCGTGAAAGGGGGGTTCAAGTATTGAAATGGCCAAGAAGCACACATGGGTTTATTTATAGTGTGTTTTCTTTATTGAAAAACATCACAGCTTTATTGATGTCATCCTTGTTGGATAATTTCACACATTTTCTGTTCAGTCTGCTTTTTGGTCAACTTTGAAAACTAATTTTCACATCTTTTCTTTATTCACTACCACCCACAAATAATTGCAAAACTGGTGAACATTTTTAGCTCTTTAAATTTTTAGTTTAACAGTATAAACTGCTGTAAAATACTTTATTTTTGCTGAAGGATCGATTCAGTGAAAATAAAATCCAGTGAATATACCATTTTTCCTATACTTGTCAAAAATCAGCCAAAATTAATTCCAGCTAAAATAAGGTATTTTATAGTATATAATATTATATAAGACAGCCGGACGCTTATATCGAAGTGCACTTTCAAATATCATGTTATATTTGCAGTTTTTACCTACACATAACTGCTACAGGTAATCGCGTTTCTTGTAATAACCAACATAGTAATCAATTTCCTCAGCCCTAGAGTACTGTTGCCATCCCATCCATATGAGTTTATTTTATCACACAATAGGTTTGAGCCCTGTGGCCATTGGAACAGACGCTGGTGGATCTATTCGTATTCCCGCATCACTGTGTGGTGTCGTTGGTTTCAAACCAACATACGGTCGTGTCAGTTTAGCTGGTGGCTGTTCTGACTTTTCTCTGTTACATCACGGACCACTTGCCTGCTGTGTACGTGATGCTGCGCTTAGTTACGGTGAGATAATCAAATTTTTTGCAGTTTTTTTTTCCATCCTTAAATGCAGAAATTGATCTGTTTCACAATTCAGGTTTATCCATAAACCACAAATAAAACAAGTTGGTAACTGAGTCTATTTCAGGGTAAACTAATAAATTGTTCTGTTTGTTTTCCTTTCCAGCCATCATGGCAGGGCCTGATAAAAAAGATCCAACTAGCCTGCACCAACCAATCGTATCTCTGGATAGATTCGATGACAAAAGTTTAACTGGTCTTCGTGTCGGAATTGACTGGAGGTTTTTTCGTGTAAGAACTCAATTTTTTTATATGCTTGTTGATGTTAGATGTATATATTTTTATTTGCTCTGATGCATATAAGCACTGTGGTTAACTTTGAGTGTTCAGTATTCATTCAATGCAATAATGACTATGGTGACATGACCTGACCTGGTGAATATTTTTTCATTTTTGGTAAAAAGTGATATTTTTCTTGATAAAAACCAC